CATGAAGGTGTTTCCTGCCTTATGTCCATAGGCAGAACAGCACCTCTGAAGTTGGCCCCTCTGTGCCAGTAAGCTCCATTTCTAACAGCTCATCTGATTCATGCAAGGCCTTGATCAATGAGGAGTTCTCTCTGTTACATCCCTCTTGCCCATTTAACTGTGACAGCTCCCTTTGGAGGAGCTCCCTCCACCAGGGAAGGGTTTTATTAGATTTCTGTCAGCATTTGACAAAGTTCGGGTTTGATGGAAACCTGTCGTGGATGTGTTTGAGGGAACGTGCTGATCAGACCTGCCTTTGCTCATTGCTTCTTCACAATTCCCATTGGCTCAGCCCTTGGACCAGTTCCCAGTTAAGGGCCTTACATATAACATCTCTCATTTTACCCTCTCCAGGAATTTTTTAGTGACTTCAATCCCTAGTGATGTTTAGCATTGACCTGGCATTCTCACTATATTTTTTATACTTTTTCTGAAAGGGAGAGAGAAGGAGGAGTATCCAATGGTTTGGTTCTTATACCCTGACGTTAAAAATTGGGCTTTGTTTTTAAAAATATAGAACAGGATTATCTTCTGTTTACTTATTACTTTATATCATTATTTATAGAACCTCTTGCTCTATTTCATTCAGTTACTAGTATATAGGTTATTGGTAGGGGAAGGCCTACTTTCCTTCCTTATGCTCTCAACTATTATAAAACAAGTTCTTTTAAAATGTAGATGCTTGGCAGAAACCATTTTGGCTCAGTGGATAAAACATCGGCCTGCGGACTGAAGGGTCCCAGGTTTGATTCTGGTCAAGGGCATGTACCTTGGTTGCAGGCACATCCCTTGTGGGGAGTGTGCAGGAGGTGGCTGATTGATGTTTCTCTCTCATAAATGTTTCTATCCCTCTCCCTTTCTCTCTGTAAAATATCAATAAAATATATTTTTTTAAAATACGTAAAATGCAGATGCTTAGTTACAATTCTCATGACAACAATAAAAGTGATTCAGAGAGAACACAGGTGACAAGGATATGAGTGTTCTGTATCAGATACTCAAAGAATGAGGGAGGGCGTGCGAACCTTAGAAACACTCGTTCAACAGCCCCAGGTTGCAAACAGAAAATCAAATCTCTAGAAGTGACTCCGGGAAGGCTGAGCTGGGATCGCTCACATTCCAGAAGAGCAGAGTCAGATTGGTCCGAAGGCCTTTCCCATCCACTCCACTTCTCCCCCTCTTTCACCCTAGGACCCTGCCTTGAAGAACACAGTAGGGGGTGCTCTCAAAACAGAGTTTTGGGCAATTGTGGCCTGATGGCGGGGACAGCAGAGCACAATCTGAAGGGTAGCTATCTAAGCACTGGGTACATACCCCAATGCCTCTTCAGGCATTGGTCACCACACAGCCTCCCCTTCACCAGGGAGAAGAACTTGGACTGTGTTTGGACTCCTTGCCACCAGAATCTAGCCAGGGACACTTGAGTGTCACATGTGTGTCCCTCATGAACTGTTGAGTGCCCTTGCGTGTTGAACAAGAGCTTGGTGTCCCTTAGACATTCACTGGGACAGAGTGCGTCTGAGACAGGGAGCTCCCAGGCCTTGTCAGATGTGAGGGAGCTGTTCACGTAAGGGGAGCATCTCAGCTCCCGGACCCAGAGTGTCCGAAGACCCTTCTTCCATGGCTGCTGATCCGGAGGACCCTCAGAAAATAGCTAGGATTGAGCTAAACACTGTATTTTACACCCATACGATGCAGGGTCCCAAATGAGTGTCCCCAGAAATACCAGGCACACCCAGTATTTCAAGCTGAAATAAAGTGAATCCCTAGGCATGGAAGAAGAGTATGTTCGTTTGGTTTTCTTCACACTCCCCTTCTTTTTTAAAGGGACTCAGATAAGAAAGACCTGCATGGCTCAAGGTGGGGAGGGGGGTGTTGTACTTACCTCAGCTTATACACTTGAGTGCATGCAGATGGACTGTGTTGAGCAGAGTGTGTCCAGGCCAGTCTCTCCCCCAGGTTTTCCTTTGTCCCACTGTTTCTGAGTGGTCTAGCAAGAATGTGTTTGCCACTTTCTCAGTTACCTACTAATTGCCTATTTTCTCTTCGAAGTCCAAACCCATTTCCCGCTTTCCCCTCTGTCCAAAGTGACATTTATTCCATATTTGGCATCACTGGTTTTAGAATTTTCATGTTGATATGAATCCCTGAGTGCACATGCACTATAAGTTTGATTTTCTCCTATTAGAATTTCAATGTTTTGTGTGTGTGTGTTTTATAATCTTCACCCGAGGATATGGTTTTATTGACTTCTAGCAAGAGAGAAAGAGGAAAAGAGAGAGAAACATCAATCAGTTGCCTCCCACATGCACCCCTCCTGTCATCCAACCCACAACCTAGGTTTGTGCCCTTACAAGAAATCAGACCTACAACCTTTTGGTGTATGGGTCGACATCCAACCAACCAAGCCACCTGGCCAGGGCTGCTGTTAGTCTGCTTTGCATTATAGGATGAGCCGGGAGAACTAACAGGGTGAGAGAAAAGTCCCCAGCCCCACATGGAAGAGAAGGGACATCCTACAAACTCTCAAGCTTCTACCTACAGCCAATCACTGCTGGCCAACCATTCCCTCTGCACAGCCTCAACCTGGGGGTGCAGCTTTGCTCTGGCCAGTCTGTCACGAGAACAGTTGGAATTGACCTCAGGAAGGAAAAGGAGAAGAAGGTCCCTGCCTCTCCTGACCTCCAGAGGGGCATTGGTGATTTTGATTCTTCTGGAAGAGAGCCCTCCTCCAGGAATCTGCTCGCAGTGGTGGTAGTTTCCTTCTTGAGTGGAAACCCACCAGAAATCAAATGAAAGCACATTGAAACAACAATGAAATGCCATGAGCAAGTGGTAGATTTTTGAATAGTGGGACCCAGCATGCAAGAGGGAGGTGTCAGAGGTGGACACTATAGCAGCCTCCTCAGGTCACATCTGCTGAGGGGGCTTTTGTGCAATTGCTTCCCTTTTGGAATCCAGTTTGTGCATTCTTTCAACCCACGGGAGGTTATGGTGCAGAAGCGAGGGATCTGGGTGGAAGTGCTCAGCCTCCTGCAGGCACAGCAGGTGTTTGATGAATAGCAGAGCTTTACCCTTTGACTCATTAATTACCTTCTGGGGACCAAAACTCCTGAAAAGAAAACATCTAAGCCATGAGAGCCAGTGATTAATGCAAGGACTTGCTCATGGCAGGCTGCTTGCGGAGTAAACCCCAGAAACAGACATGGAAGTCTGTGTGGAGACTGCCGGTGGCTTTAGAAATAGAAGACAAGCATGAGCATGCTTGGATGGACTGAGGCTTTCCCCAATTCTGCGGTGTTTGACACTGACCCGTTCATGTGCTCTGGAACTCAGATGTGCACTAGAGTCTAAGCCCTACCTGACTCTCAGCAGCTGGCCACGCTAGGTGCTCTCCTTGCAGAAACACCTGCCTCTTGCATAAGTGGCACTGACCATCAGGCCTTGGCAGGAAGGATTTGCCTGAAACTTGATGCATCTATGACTATTTAGATGAAAATATTGCGTTACACAAGGTATGGCAAACTCAACAGCTAAATGGGTCACATAAACGAGGCACATGGCCCTTGGGCTGTGAGTTTGACACGCTTGTGTTACATGTTCCTGGATAAGTTTGCTGCATTGTCATAGGGATTAGTTTGTGTCTAATTGATGAATTATAGAGATTGAAAACAGCATATGGTTGGCTGCGGAGTTTGAGATAAAAATTCCAAATGGTTGGCATAATGTAAACCTCTTCACAATTTAGAAGGCACCCTGCTCCCTCCTCATCCGTCCAGTAGAAGCGAGTCCTGCAGGTGGCTCAGCTGGGCATGTTCCTTTTCCCTGTAACGTCCCGCTCAGAAGCTCACTCTGGTCACTGCAGACAGCAAAGACCAGTTCTCACTGATGCAGAAAACAGTCGTCTTCCTCTTCTTTCTGGTTCCAGTGGATGCACACTGAGCATTCCATCCTCCTTTGCCCGCATCTCCGCAAACATTCCTAATGAATTAAAAGTCTGGCCCAAGGCACTCAGCTGCCTCTGAGTTTGATGTTACCATTAGCAAGCACAAAAGGGCTTTTCAACACTGCCTCATGTCCCTGACCCTCTCTGCCCCAAGTAATGTTTAGAAATGTCAAGTTCCCTGGAATGCCAATTTGCAGTTTCTCTAAAGCTTTGCACAACCATGTGCATTTTGCTGCAAAGGCTGGAGGGCACACCCCACCCTCCTGCCCGCTTCCTCCAGGAAGCACCACTTCTCTGGTGAAAACTTCTCCTGTGCCCTGAATTCTCCTAACCATCCCCAGGAGCCAGTGTCTATCTCTCCTTTAGTGCATTCCACATTGTATCAGTTTTTCTTTTTTTAAAAAAAACAAAAATTAAAAAAAAACATCTTATTGATTTTTACAGAGAGAGAGAGAGAGAGAGAGAGAGTGAGAGCTAGTAACATCTATGAGAGACAAACATTGATCAGCTGCCTCCTGCACACATCCTCTTCTAGAATGTGCCCACAACCAAGGTACATGCCCTTGACCAGAAGCGAACTTGGGACCTTTGAGTTCAAAGGCCGACACTCTATCCATTGAGCCCAATCGGTCAGAGCTGTATCAGTTTTTAGGTATACCTTTTTAAAAGTGATCCTTGTGCTAAGCACATGATTGACTCAGAGTATACATGTGTCCAGTGAATGGGTGTTATTACTCTTATATCTGGTTCTCTAAACACAGTGGTGCTTGCCATCCCTAGCCCCCAGGTAGAGGATGCCCCCTTTGCAGGCAGCTCCAGGACCCTGACACAGGAATGGCAACAGTCTTGTGGGTGTGTATGTACAAAGCTGACGCATTCCCCTTTAAAGTCTGTGGCTGACTCTGGACTGATCCTGGAATGAAGGTCAGTTCCAGGTGGTGTGTATCAGGTTGCAGAATAAATAAATTTAAAAAAAAAGCTTTTATACGTTTGTTTGTTTTTTATTGTTTTTCAGGGCAATGTCACTTTCTCCTGCTCCGAACCCCACATTGTGCCCATCACTTTCGTCAACTCGAGCGGCAGTTACCTGCTGCTGCCTGGCACCCCCAACATCGACGGGCTCTCTGTGGGCTTCCAGTTCCGGACATGGAACGAGGAGGGGCTGCTTCTGTCCACCGAGCTGTCAGAGGGCGCGGGAGCCCTGCTGCTGAGCTTGGAGGCCGGGGTCATGAGGCTCCTGATCCAGAAAACAACAGGGCGGGCAGCAGAGATCCTCACAGGTACCTTCTCCTACTACCTCGGCAATTTCTGATTCAGCCAAGTCAACAGATGTGTGAGGTTCTGAACGAAGCGTCAGATTCCAGTTCCGGGGGGGGAGGGGGGGGCTGAGCCTTGCTCACAGTGGCTCTCAGTCTGCCCAAGGGCAGCAGCTGGAGCTGGGCCTGCCCTGCCGTCCCTCAGCGCATCCATCTGGGAAGCAAGAATAAGAGTCCCCTCTGGCACCGCTGAGCAGGTGGAGACCATTCACCCAGCACTTAGCCGGTTTCCACAGACAGGGTGACAGGCTCTGTGCCATGGAATCGTCACTTTGGTCACTCAGGAAAGCCATTGCTTTCACTTTACAGACCACAGAATCAAGGGTCCCAGAGACTGCAGGCTAAGCAACGTCCCAGCTCACATGGCAACCAGCGAGGCACCCATCTCCTCCTGAATCTGTGACCTCATTCTGTAGCTTCCCTATATGCCCACCACTGTGGATGTGCTCAGCCACCTAATTCTATTCCAAGTAAAAGTTAGTGAGTCTTAAAAAATATTTCTAAATATACATCTTTAAGTTATTAAGGAAGTGCTGCTACAGATGGAATCTGGCTGTGGTAAGACTTAAAATTGTCCTCAAGACTTAAAATTGGCATTTGAGAGTGTTCCCTGTCTGCAGGACATGGTACCGATGCTAAGGATAGCAATGGTGAGCCCATTTCTTCAGCAAAACACCTTCTCCATCTGTTGCCTCACTGGCATCTCTGATTTGCCATAAAAGTTGCCAACTTAGTTGGCCGATACTTATGGAGGTCAGATCACTTGCCTGGCCTGGGGTCAGGGCTGAGGCATGCTGTCCGGTCAGTATCCCTTTATCACCATCCCTGGATACACAGTGTGATTCAGATCCCTTCCCCCACGTACCCTGGGCCAATGTTCACCCAGGATTGTTGACATTGCATTTTTATTTAATTTAAATGATTCCCTTTCCACACTAGACTGTGAGTTTTGTTATCTGAATAGAGAAATTTAAGTTAAATTGGAAAGGATGTCTCAGACGCCAATAAGAGAACAAAAAGACGCCTCCAACCCGTGGGGATCACAGTGCTGCCTGCGTCTGGGAATCAGACAGGTTCAAAGGGCATCTCGTGCCCTAGTCGGTTTGTCTCGGTGAATAGAGCATTGCAGGTTCGATTCCTGGCAAGGGCACATACCTTGGTTGCAGGCTTGATAAGGAGACAACCAATAGATTGTCTGGTCGATGTCTCTCTCTCTCTTTCCCTCCCTGCCTTCTACTCTCTGAAAATTCATGGGGGGGAAATATCCTCAGGTGAGGATTTTTTTAAAAGTCACCTCTTCTCCTTACTATTCTTCAGCCCTCAGTAAACTTCTTAATGTCTTACACATGAGTGACCGCATGTTGGTTACCTATAGCTGCATGACAACTCACAGCAAGGTTCAGTGGTTGTGAGTATTGTGCCTCAGTGTCTACGAGTCAGGCCTCCAGGCTCCTTGGCTGGTGAGCTTGGCTGAAGGGCACAGTCATCTCAAGGTTCCACTGGGGGTGGGGCAGCTTCCACGTTCACACCTGTGCTGTGGGCAGGCTCAGAAGGTCATGTGCACACTCCTCCATCCACTTGGCCTTGGTAGAGGCTGCCTCATGCTGACAGCACTCTTACCCAGAGGGAGGGAGCCGCAGGCAGGGAAGGGGGCACCCGGACAGAGCCTGGTCTCCCGGGAGCCCATTTCTGGAAGTGGCCTCCCACTACTTTGCTTTGTTCTGTTCATGAGAACCAAGTCAGTAAGCCTAGCCCTTGCCTAAGCCATGAGAATGTGCAGGGTGGATAGAAGCCAGAGTCCATGGGGACCCTCTGAGAGTCCACCTGAAACAGAAGATAAACCAAATCCCTACATCACACATGTGTGATTTCTATAATCCAGAGCACACTGCCAGGAAACTATTAAGCCATGTTTTCCTTCCAACACTGACTCATGACCTATAGCTCGAAAATGTCTGTCTCCATCCTATCTAATAAAAGAGTAATATGCAGTTTGACCATCACTCCAACACACAAGATGGCTGCCCCCATGTGGTCAAAGACCCTGCCCCCATGTGGACACAAGAGGGCAACCACAAGATGGCCAGCAGGGGAGGGCAGTTGGGAGGGACCAGGTCTGCAAGGGAGGGCAGTTGGAGGGAATCCACCATGAGGAGGGCAATTAGGGGTGAGTTAGGGGCTGGCAGAGGAGAGAAATTAGGGGCAAACAGACTGGCAGGGGAGCAGTTAGACATTAATCAGGCTGGCATGGGAGTGGTTAGGGGGTGATCAGGCTGGCAGGCCAAAGTGATTAAGGGCAATCAGGAAGGCAAGCAGGCAAGCAGTTGGGAGCCAGCAGTCCTGGATTGAGAGAGGGATTTCCAACTGCCAGTTTAGACCTGATCACAGTGGGATCGGGTCTAAACAGGCAGTTGAATATCCCTCAAGGGGTCCCAGATTGGAGAGGGTGCAGGTTGGGCTGAGGGACACCCCCCACCATGTATGAACTTTATGCACCTGATCTCTAGTAGAGTCATAAAAGCTACTTGAATGTGTCAGTCACCGAACTTTTATGAAATTTATAAGATTCCCTGTAATGGTGATGAATTAATAAGTTAGAAACATAATATTTTTGTGTACAGTTATAAAAGTCAAACCTCAATTATCCTTATTTGAAGTAGAAAAACATAAACTTGCACTGAGCAATTTCTATCCAATCAGCAAGATGTTTGAGTGCAGAGACTTGTCAGCCTCAGGTCAAAAATGCAGTTTTAATAGAGCGCAAGCCCTGGTGGCTCCTCGCTCCGAAGCAGGGCTTACTAGGCACACACAATCATGGAGGCTGTTTCTGGGGGAGAGAGTGGCTGGTCGCAGCTGCCAAGCACTGGCACAGAGGGGAAATAATCAGTTATTTCAGAGCTCTCTTAAGAAAGAGAAAAAGGGGGATTTAATATGTGCTGAGTTCCTCAGGTGTGTCTCAAAAGCTTGATTCTTCTCTCCATTTTGAAAAAATTGAGCTTTATTTTTTATTTTTTATTTTTTTATTTTTTTATTTTTTGAAATGGAGTGAGGTTTTGTGTCTGGCATTTGTCTACATAGGGGAGAAAAAACAAAATACAAACAAAGGGAAACAGCTTTCTTCTGCCTTACAAGCTTGAGGAGACTTTTTCTCAGGCCCTTGATATAATGTTGACTCTATAAGAGACAAAAATCCCCATAAGAAACTGGAGAACAATGACCATTGTCCCAGTAGCTTTGGGGAACCATGGGCTACCCTTGGCACATGGTCTGTCATAGGAAATGAAAACTCAAACACTTTCTCAACTGGACAGGGACCAGCATCTCCAAGTTTGTGTGGGGAGCGCCCAGGTGCCCCAGTGCCTCGGTCACAATGAGCAGGTGACCCGGGGACAGGCAGGACCCAGAGCCTGGCCCAGCCATGCCTGCTCCAGAGCTCTGCTCTGGTGTGGGCTCCGGGTTATCTGGGGCTTTCTGCATGGCGTCCAGGGAGAAGCGTGCAAGCTGAATGCGTCCTTTAAATAGAAGGGAACTGAGCGCTGTTGCTCTTGGGGAAGATGTTTCAAACAGTGAAGGATGACATCACAATGTCTCCCTTGCTTTTCCTTATTTTCTATTTTTGTGATCTTCTTTCTTAAGAGCCTTACACTTTCTTCCTGGAGGAGAAAGGCTCCAGAGGTGATGTGGGAGTATAATCGACAATGCCATGGCTCTCCTGAGGCCAGACCCCAAGCCAGTGCTGCCAGCTAGTGACAAAACCCTCTCCTAACATTGGGAAGCAGGTCTTAGTTCGCCTATAAGCACAGGCGCAAACTGATAATCAGAATGCACTTACAGTGGCCACGATGGGTCCCCCCCTCCCCATGGTCTTTACACAACATCCATCTTCATGTTTTTATATTGTCAGTTGCTTGAATGATTCAAATGTAAAAACATTCTGCTTTAGAGGAAAGACTTATAGACAAATGTACAATAGACTACTTAGGAGAATAGGCTATTTAGGATCAAAAGCTGAATTTTCCCAAAAACAGTTCCATTACTTGGTGATACTCTCATTTCCAGATCCTTCCATGAGGAGGATTGACACAGAGGGAGAATGTGTTGTCTGGCAGACTTGTGGTCTCATTTAGCTCAGGCTGCTGTATACTACTATAAAGTACACCATACATATCTACATGTCAACACACCTGTGCACACACACACACTCCATGCCCCATACTTTCTAAAGACCTTTTAAAAGACTTGATGTTGATTCTATGGGAAGAACATCACCTAAGCACGAAAGGGAACTCGGTGACACAGCCACAAGGAGGAGGCTGTCTGCTTCCAAAGCCTCTGGCTTCTATTGTGGGGCATGTCCACTCAGTCACCCCTGCGTCCTAACCCCACATGAAAGCCTGGGGGCTGCACAGGAGCAGGAGGATGCCTGCAAGGAGTCCCACCACATGGCGAGCCTTGCCCTTTCCCCCTTCAGGACTCAGAGCAGCCATTCAGGCAAACCTCCAGTTAATGAACCGGCATCTGGTTTTCCTACTATAAACCTTTTAAGTATCAGCTCTTTACTGCTTTTCCTAAGGTACCGTGTGCTAGGGGACTCTGTCTCTCAATCCACACCTGTTCATTGAACAATAGGCACCATGTTCTATTTCATAATGAAAGGAATAGCTGTCATTTTAAAGACGCTTAAGAGGATGCTTAGAATGGAGTCTGGTATTACCCAAACCAACCTGAATTATTGAAACTTGGGAAATGTTATAAAGGTAAAGGAGACCACCTGATTTGTTTCTTTGGAGAGTCAGGGCAGAGCATTGGTGAGAGGTTATCAGAAAATGTAAGGCGTTCAAATTATATTAATAGAGGAACTCAAGCTGCTTTATGTGGAGAGAAAGTAAGACAGGGACATGATAATGGTCTTTGAACGTGGGACACACTCTCTCACAGATGAGAGTTCTTATGTGTATATGTCA